ACGACCCAGGGAGCGCCAGGGCAACCGCCAACGCAAAAGAGAAGCTGGCAGGTCTCGGAGAGCAGGCCGCGGTGCACCTGCCAAATCACATCCACGTGCAGAGAGCAGTGGCACGTCTTCACCGCGCGACAGATATCGGGAGGAAAAAACACGCAGACACAATTCATCGTCGATTTCCCATGAAATATGGGAAAATATGGGAAGTGGGGGGGAAGACGAAAACCCAGCACATAAGGGAAAGCATGGGGAATCCTTTCATTCGTGTGTATTTATTTGTGTGTGTCCCAGGGCCCCTTCAAGACAAACAATCGAGGCGGCACGCGCAGCTTGAGGAAGACCAGACGTGTACGGAACGATTGGAAGAGGTGCTCGTCAATGTGCGTGGGGACAGTACGCAGTTGCGTGCAACAGCTCAGCGCGCGATGGAGCACGATGAGGAGCTACGAACTAAGACGTGGGCGACAACGGCATGCGAGCAGATCGGTGACGTTCAACAGCTATCCACGGCGGCAGAATGGCTGGCACTACAGCGTCCTGAGGACGAAGCTGCCAAGCACTGGCACCGTGTGCCCAAGAGTTATCACAAACAGACAAGCATCGGACGCGGCGAAGACCGACCCGCCAGAGATCGTCTACACCTTAGGCGATGCTTAAGAAAACCTAAGTTTTCGGCCAGAGTCTCGATTATTCTTAACGTTTCAATGTGAATCCTAAGATTTTGATAGAAATGTTGGGTTTTGATTCAAGTTCTGAGACTATGAATTTCTTAACCCATGATTTCTTAAGCATTTCGCAGGGTGTACAAGAAGCAGCTCGAGGAGCTGGAGAAGCGCATCCCACCAGAGCATCAGGCCCAGTGGGCCGCCCAGAACAACGATGTCAGTGGGCCACCCGCAGCAGCAGCAGCATCAGCGTGATCAGCTCAGGAGGGAAAGAAACACACAGACACAATTAATCCTCGATTTCCCAGAAAATATGGGAACATATGGGAAGTGGGGGGGAAGACAAAAACCCAGAAAATATGGGAAAATATGGGGGATATTTTTATTTGTGTGTATTTATTTGTGTGTCCTAATTTCCCTTTATCAGCACCAGCAGAGCCGAAGCCGAAGATATCTCCTGCACCGAAGCCTCAGCCTGCAGCAGCCGCCAGTCAACAACATGGACGACGTGGCGAAACAGCAGATCGTGCGGGCGATCGCAATCGTGGAGCAGGTGCGGGCAAAGGAGGAGTAGCCGAGCCAGGTGATCTACCCCGCTCGGGTTCACGTTTTGCTCGAGGCAGGCCGGAAGATCAGGAGTCAGGGTGATTTAGATGTAATGGTTCAGAGCCCGTAGGATTTCGTTGCCTACAGGACGGCCAGTATCTACACAGCGATGCATGGACAGCATTGCATGCCCACCAGACCCCAGCACGTGTGATTCTGAATTTCCCATTGGCGAGTTTGATTTCGACCATAGTCACTTCGATAGGGGATGCGAGAGCGTGTGTGTGTGTGTATGTGTGTGTGTGTGTGCGTGCGTGCGTGTATGTGTATGTGTATGTGTATGTGTATGTGTATGTGTATGTGTATGCGTATGTGTACGTGTACGTGTATGTGTATGTGTATGTGTATGTGTATGTGTAACATGTGCATGTGTATGTGTATGTGTATGTGTATGTGTATGTGTATGTGTATGTGTATGTGTATGTGTATGTGTATGTGTATGTGTATGTGTGTGTATGTGTGGTGTGTATGTGTATGTGTATGTGTATGTGTATGTGTATGTGTATGTGCATATGCGTGCGTGCGTGCGTGTGTGTGTGTGTGTGTGCGTGAATATGTGTGGTGTGTGTATGTGTGTATGTGTGTGTGTGTGCAGGGGGGATGTGGGAGTGTGTGTGTGTGTGTTTGTGTGTGTGCGGGGGGGGGGCATGCTGGCGCGAACTTCTCCACGGTCGTCCTGGGGAATCATCAAGGACCGTTTGGGTGAGCATAATGGTTTGGACCATGTTGTAGTTGTGTCTGCTCAGGAAATAATGAGGCCTCTAGAGGAATCGATCGCCACAGCGTCAGCTCGGGCTTTGAAGAACGGTCGGAAGTTGCATTGGGCATTCAGCTTTAGAGGCCCTTCTAGCACGACGCGTCTCAGTCTCAACGACCTCGGAGCCAGCGGCGTTACTTCAGGGGCCGCGGTTTTCCTGAATGTTATCTTTGGGCGCCTCCAGCCAAGTGCAACCTTGCTACTCCGACGGGGGCATCATCTTCCCCTGTTGGGCTGTCTCTTGCGCGGTGTAACTCCCAGCTGCTCCCAGGGTTTTATGCGTCTCGTTCTAGGGGTGTAAGTCTCGGATGCCCCATCAGTTCTCAACGTGGAGCTTTTGGGTGGAGTTGTCCCCCATTGTGAGACTTCGAGCGCGCCGTGCATGATTGCGGGGCGCCCTATTCCGCGCGCAACGCTGGCTCGCGCCGGGTTCCCCGAGGCCCTCGGGCACGAGCCTCGACCGCAGGGCCGCCGCTCGGTGGCAAAGCTAAGTCCAGAGGGACAGCTGATTTGATCGTGGAGTTTCAACTGGCAGCACTGATCGCTTCAGTCGGGTCAGACTTCGGGCGGCATGGCCGCCGACGCTTTTCAGCGCAAGCAGGACTGCCACCGAGTGCGCAGCAGGTTCGGATTCTGCAGCTCCCGTCGCTGCCCGCCCCCGCCTGTGAACCGCCTGGCGAGCGAGGGGAGGTGAGCGCGGATCGGGGGGGAGCTCGCCAGGATAGTTTAGGAATTGCTTCCAGCTTGCAGTCCCGAGCGAGTCGAAGCAAGTCGGCGCGCGACCCGCGCTGCTGGAGGGTTCTGCATCGAAAACGGGCGGCCAAAGCGGAGGCGCGCATCGCGGATGGGACTCGCTGGTGGCTGGTTTGCCAGCAGCTCGAGCCGGGCTCCCTGCCCGCGGATGCCCCCCTCGCTCCGGAGATGCCGATCCGCAAACGCCCATGCCTCCGCCATTGAAGGGATCTCGGGAACCAGCCCCTCAGACCTCGGCATCGCTCGGACGTGTGCATTTTTCCTTCGGCGAGGACCATCGAGGAGCATCCTTGATCATCTGGCGAAAAAAACCACGCACGAAACCCAAAAAAGCACAGGGAATGGACGTCCGAGCGGTGGCCAGAGACGCGTTGAAGTCTGAGAGGCTGATCCGAAGGTCAAAGGGCACAGCAGAGGCGGTGCACGTCCGACGCCTGAGGGCAAGCCAGACGGGTGGACACTGGCGCCAGCTGTGCGCCGGGTCTGGGGAGTTTGGTCAGCGGCGGTCGGCAGGGCGGGGCCCCTCGGATCCATGAACATTTCAGAGCTGAAGCCAGTTCGGGAGACCATTTCTCCCCAGCCCGGGCTACATACACCTTGTGGCATCTGGACGACCTGTCGCCGCTGCAGCTCACGCTCTGGATCGGATGCGCTAAAGTTCTTCCACCGGGCCGTTCGCCGTGCGCACGCCTGACGGCCAGATATGCAGCCTCTGCGATGCGAAGCCCAGATTGTCACCACCCCAACCCAACCCGAAGGCTCAGATTTACCCTCGATTTCCAGTGGGGGGGGGTCGGGAAACATCTAAAAACACATGTGCAACCCTTACCCCCCCCCAACCCGAAATTCGGGTCTTCGGGTTGGGTTGGGGTGGTCTGGTAAGTAGTCAGATTGCTGGAGCATTTGGGGGAGGTCAGTGCCAGGACTTGAGTTTTCAAGGGTGCTGAAGCTCTCGTGCCAGGCCCAGGTGAGGTTTCAGCCAGGCTTTGTCTTGCTGTCTTTCGTGCCGTCGTGTGGCTTCCAGTTGCGGTCGCCTGTCAGGGCAGCCCAGGCAGGCCATCTCATGGAGACGTGCGCGTTATGCGCAGCCGTTGGGGACGCGCTGTTCCACCGAGTCTTTCTCAGTGTGTCGGTTTCCTGTAGCGTCCGGGGGCTGATCCATACAGTCGGGGCTCTGAATAAGGAACCCTTTTCGTTGTGGAGGGGCTCCGTGTTCCTTCAACGTTTTCCATTTTGCCCCAGGTTATCCTTGGATTTTCGATGGGAAATCGAAGTTGAACTTCTGAAAAAAGGGGCCTCGTTCCACATTCTGGGTTCCTTGGGCCAGCGCCCCGACTGCATTTCCTTCCTCATCCCGCGCAAGGTTCTTGCGTGCAAGTTGCCCCAGGCAGGTTCGGAGCCCGTTGTAGGGGCGTGCTGCTCTGGACGTTTGAGACCCCTCACTCGGCGGCGGGCGCGGGGGGGAAATGAGAAGGGGCGGGACTTCCGAGGCTTCTGAGAAGTTTACGGACTTCTGAGAGGGCTTCTGAGAAGTTCAGTCTGTATTCGAAATAGGCTAAGGAGACCTCTCAGAAGCCCCCCGGACTTCTAAGAAGTCCCGCGGCCTTCTGAGAAGGCCTTCTCCTTCTCATTTCCCCCCTGGGCTCGTCGCCTACTCACTGGACCAGGAGACTGCCGGGCTTGCTGCCTCGTTCTCCTCGGCATCTTCGTCTTCCTCCTCGCCTCCTCGAGGAAGGAAACCAGTCTCCCTCCCTGTCTTCTCCTTTGTCCTCGCCTTCCTCCTCACAATCCAGGATTTTTGATGCAGACCTTGTCAGAAGAGTCTCGAGCCTGTGTCGGCTGCAAGTCTGCGACTGATGGCTACGGCGAGCCATTGCCTTCGAGGCCAGCATCTAAGAATATGTATGCTGGCACGTTGAGAACTGCACTGGGCGGCGATAGTAGCAAGCTTATGAAAGCAGCAATCGAGACTGAGGCCCATCAGGACGGGGCCTAGATCGCCGAAGCTGACCGCCTGCCTTTCTTAATCAATCAACAGTGCGACTGTCAGAGCAGGCGGCCATGTCGATGTGACCGTCGTTTGATCCGTCGTCGCTCGAGCGTCTGAAGCATCAGCAGGAGAGGGCCGCTGCTGCATTGCAATGTATTTCCAAGACTCTTTCCCTCTGGCTTCGGCACAGCCGAGTGGGCAAGCCGTCCAAGAATGCCGAGACGAGGGCTTGGCACGTTCTTGTAGTCCAATGGTGGCAGCATGCGGGGCATGTGCCATGGTTGTGTGCCGGGTGTTTTTCTTGCTCGCAGTCAGATGTTGCGGCGGCTCTCAGTCACAACGAGCCATGCCGCCCGATGAGTGCGAGCTTCAGAGCAGGACCCCTATTAATCCACTCATCGCGCAAGATACAGTCCAGTGTCCCCAGGGATGGCCTTCTGATAAGATGTGCCTGTTGCGGTTTGCGCACGAATTTTGTTTTCAAGGGCGTGCTGTACACAGTGCGTGCCCAGGACGGCCCAAGAGCGCAAGAGGTACACTGTGAGGCGTCGGCTTTCGCTGGGGGTCCATCTGGAGTCGGGATCCCCATTCGAAGTCGTCTCTTGTTTTGAGGCCTTCAGGGCTCATCGAAAGCAATAGGCCGATTCTTCGTCCCCGTCCTCCTCCTCTTCCTCCTCCTCCTCCTCCTCCTGCTCATCCTCCTTCGCCTCCTTCTCCTCCTCCTCCTCCTCCTCCTCCTCCTCACTCCTAGGCTCCTCCTCCTCCTCCTCCTCCTCCTCCTCCTCCTCATCCTCACTCCTAGCCTCCCCTCCCCATCTCATACTCCTCCTCCTCCTCCCTCCTCCTCGCTCCTCCTCCTCCTCCTCCTCCTCCTCCTTTCCTCCTACCCCCTCCCTCCCACAACCCTTCCCCTCCTTCGAGGAGGAGGAAGAAGAGTAGGAGGAGGAGGAGGAGGAGAGGAGAGGAGGAGGAGGAAGGAGGAGGAGGAGGAGGAGGATGGAGGAGGAGGAAGGGAGGGAAAGAGTAGGAGGAAGGGGAAGAGGAGGAGAGGAGGAGGAAGAGGAGAAGGTGGAGCAGGAGGAGGAGGAGGAGGAGGAGGAGGAGGAGGGGGAGAGGAGGGGGAGGGGGGGATGCATCGAGGTCCGAGGTTCGATGCTTTCAGGTTCCAGGTTCGAGGTTTTCAGGCGTGTTCGCCGGTCCTCGGCAGTTTTCTATTCGCGGGATGCTCTCCAGCGGCTGCGACTCGCCAGGAGCGTTCCAGGGGTGCCCAGATCGCGCCGAGCGGCCGCTGGAGGCCCGCGCCATGGCCCAGAAGCCGGACAACGAGGGTCACCGCGGGAATCTGTTCAGGGGGGGATGCGTCGGCCCCCAAACGCCCAATGATCGCCGATAGGGGCCCGATAGCCCCCCCCCGCCCAGGAACATGCAGCGCCCAAGGATCGCCGCCCTCCCTTCTGGTTTCCCATTATCGCTGCACCTCAGGAGCTCTGGAGACCATGGGCGAGTCCAGCAGCCAGTCCGCGAGGGCCCTGATCATCTCCGACATCCTGAACGTGCTGCGCTACCTGCATTCGAGGCTGCCGAGAGAGAAACAACTGCATAGCTGCATAGACATCCCGTCGGGCACTTTTCGCAAAGCGTGTCGCGACGGCGGCCCCATCGACACGCGATATCGCTGCACCTCAGGAGCTCTGGAGACCATGGGCGAGTCCAGCAGCCAGTCCGCGAGGGCCCTGATCATCTCCGACATCCTGAACGTGCTGCGCTACCTGCATTCGAGGCTGCCGAGAGAGAAACAACTGCATAGCTGCATAGACATCCCGTCGGGCACTTTTCGCAAAGCGTGTCGCGACGGCGGCCCCATCGACACGCGATGCCAGAAGAAGTGGAGGAGGAGGAGGAGGAGGAGGAGGAGGAGGAGGAGGCGGAGGAGCGGGAGGATATAGGAGGAGGAGGGAGGATGAGTGAGCACGGGGAGGTGGCCGGAGGATAGGCAGGAGAGAGGCGGAGGAGGAGCAGGAAGGAGGAGGAGGAGGAGGAGGCCGGAGGAGCCAGGAGGAGGAGTATGTGCGGGGAGGAGGAGATGGAGGAGGAGGAGAAGGAGGAGGAGGTAGTTCTTTGTGGCTCCTCTCCGGAGGCAGCCCGCCGTGGTCCACGGCGACCTGAAGGTCTCCAACGTCTTCGTGGAGGAGCGGCGCAGCAGGAGCGGGCAGAGCTCGTACCACGCCAAGCTGCTGGACTTCGGCCTCTCGCGGATCCTGACCCGAAGCGCCAGGTCCCTCCTCCTCCTCCTTTCACCTCTCTTTTTCCTCCTCCCTCCTCCTCCTCCTACCTCCTTCCCCCTCCTCCTCCTCCTCCTCCTCCTCCTCCATCCCTTTCCTCCTCCTTCCTTCCTTCCTCCCTCGGAGGAAAGGTCCCAGATCGCCAACTTTCGCTTCGTTTTCGGCCCCTTGGGGGCCTCTTGGGAGGCCCTCGTCGCCACCGCTGGCACTAGCATCCGATAGTGCTGGTTCGGCACCGCACCCTTCTTAATTTCAGGGATATAGCGAAGTCCCGCGGTAGGAGCGGCATTTTACGGATCGTGGGGCCTTTGCGGTGTCTCCAGAGGCCCCTCGGCGGCACGCCGCGGTGGATGGCGCCAGAGCTGCTCGCGGGCCCTCGAGAGTCATAACAAACGGCATGCGGCGACAGGGGCGAATAGCCTTAAGTCGAGCGTGTCCCTTTACAGGAGGAACATTCAAAAATAGTAAAAAATAATCTAGGGAAGGTTTTTCTTACATTGTTTTTACCTAACAGCGAAGACTGATAGGTTTCTAGTGGTGTCAAAAGAGAGCAGCAGATGACTCCACAGGGGGGTCCGGGCGGGACCCGGGGCGGCTGCCGCCGAAGCCCAAATCGCTTGGGACATCCTCGCAAAATCGCTCTTGGCGCTGCTAGAACTCCACTCCCGGCGTACATTTTGGATGCCCGGAGCCAACTGTAGGCCACTTCGTGGTCTTCGCGGGCTGCTTCCCAGAAACTCCATTCCCGGGGGGGGGGCGGCGGGGGGGGCCGGGGGGGGGGCCACATTCTGAATGCCCGGAGCCAACTATACGCCACTTCGTGCTCTTCGAGTTCCCAGAATCCATTCCCGGGCCACATTTTGAATGCCAGGAGCGAACTGTAGGCCACTTCGTGCTCTTCGAGTTCCCAGAACTCCATTCCCGGGCCACATTTTGAATGCCCGGAGCCAACTGTAAGCCACTTCGTGGTCTTCGAGTTCCCAGAACTCCATTCCTGGGCATGATTTTGAATGCCCGGAGCCAACTGTAGGCCACTTCGTGTTCTTCGAGTTCCCAGAACTCCATTCCCGGGCCACATTTTGAATGATGAGGCAGGCTGAGGCTGAGGCTGAGGCAGGCTGATGCTGAGGCAGGCTGAGGCTGAGGCTGAGGCGGGGAGGCGGACTGAGGCGGATAGCTGAAGTCAGGCTTGAGGATGAGGCAGGAGGCAGGCTGAGGCTGAGGCAGGCTGAGGCTGAGGCTGAGGCATGCCGAGGCTGAGGCTGAGGCTGAGGCCGAGGCAGGGTGAGGCTGAGGCCGAGGCAAGCCGAGGCAGGCTGAGGCTGGAGCTGAGGCTGATGCTTACGCAGGCTGAGGCTGAGACAGGCTGAGGCTGAGGCAGGCTAAGGCTGAGGCCGAGGCAGGCTCAGGAGGCTGAGGCAGGCTGAGGCTGAAGCAGGCTGAGACTGAGGCTGAAGCTGAGGCTGAGAGGCAGGCTGAGGCTGAGGCTGAGGGCAGCCTGAGGGGTGGATTAGGCTTAGGATGGGCAGATGAGGGCTGAGGCTGAAGCTAGGCTGAGCTGATAGGCAAGGGCAGGCTGTGGCTGAGCTGTAGGCAGGGCTGATGCTGAGGAGGGCTGAGGCTGAAGGTGAGGCTGATGTCAGGCTGAGGGACTGAGGCAGGTCTGATGGGCCGAGGCTATGATGGCAGATTGAGTGATTGAGGCTGATGCGGCTGAGGCAGAGGCAGGCTGAAGGCTGAGGCTGAGGCGGGCTTGAGGCTGAGGCAGGCTGATGCTGAGGCAGGCTGAGGCTGAGGCTGAGGCTGATGCAGGCCGAGGCTGAGGCAGCCTGAGGCTGAGGCGAGGCTGAAGGCAGACTGAGGCTGAGGCTGAAGCAGGCTGAGGCTGAGGCTGAGGCAGGCTGAGGCTGAGGCTGAGGCAGGCTGATGCTGAGGCAGGCTGAGGCTGAGGCTGATGCAGGCTGAGGCGGAGGCAGGCCGAGGCCGAGGCCGAGGCTGAAGGCAGACTGAGGCTGAGGCTGAAGCAGGCTGAGGCTGAGGCTGAGGCAGGCTGAGGCTGAGGCTGAGGCAGGCTGATGCTGAGGCAGGCTGAGGCTGAGGCTGAGGCTGATGCAGGCTGAGGCTGAGGGAGGCTGAGGCTGAGGCCGAGGCTGAAGGCAGACTGAGGCTGAGGCTGAAGCAGGCTGAGGCTGAGGCTGAGGCTGAGGCAGGCTGAGGCTGAGGCTGAGGCAGGCTGATGCTGAGGCAGGCTGAGGCTGAGGCTGAGGCTGAGGCAGGCTGAGGCTGAGTCAGGCTGAGGCTGAGGCCGAGGCTGAAGGCAGACTGAGGCTGAGGCTGAAGCAGGCTGAGGCTGAGGCTGAGGCAGGCTGAGGCTGAGGCTGAGGCAGGCTGATGCTGAGGCAGGCTGAGGCTGACGCTGAGGCTGATGCAGGCTGAGGACTCGAGGCTGAAGCAGGCCTGAGGCTGTTAGGCAGAGGGCGGCGAGGCTGAGGGCCTCGATGGCAGGTGATGTCCTGAGGCAGGCGAGGACTTCGGAAGGGCTGAGGCTGATGCCAGGGCTGAGGGCTTGATGGCGCAGGCTGAGGCTCGAGGCCGAGGCTTGAAGCAGACTGAATGTGAGGCTGAGGCTGAGGCAGGCTGAGGCTGAGGCCGAGGCTGAAGGCAGACTGAGGCTGAGGCTGAAGCAGGCTGAGGCTGAGGCTGAGGCAGGCTGAGGCTGAGGCAGGCTGAGGCTGAGGCTGAGGCAGGCTGAGGCTGTGGCTGTGACTGCGACTGCCGTTGCCACTGCGACTGTCATCGCGAATGCGACTACGACTGCGAGAACAGCAGAATTCTACAACTGGATTCTCATCCGAATCTTAAGGGGAATGCTTCCAGATATGCTCCTACACATCGCTGTTAGGCTGCTTTGCCGGGATAATTGATCCTTCGGGGGTATTTTTGGAGTACTAATTTTCATCCAAATCCCCCCTGTAGGGGGACATGCCCGACCTAAGAATAGCCCCGGGGCGGGCATTGCACGTGTGCCTCCAGGAGGCTCGCCGAAGGCATGGGCCGGCGGCGCCCCGGGAGGGGGAGGAGGAGGAGGAGGAGGAGGAGGAGGAGGAGGAGAGGAAGGAGGAGCGAGGAGGAGGGAAGGGGAGGAGGAGGAGGAGGAGGACGGGAGGAGGAGGGAGGAGGGAGGAGGAGGAGGGAGGAGGAGGGAGGAGGAGGGAGGAGGAGGGAGGAAGGTGGAGGAGGAGGAGGAGGAGGAGGAGGAGGAGGAGGAGGAGGAGGAGGAGGAGTTGGCACCTTCTCCACCACGGGAGGCGGCGGCAGGTCGGCGGAAAGTGAAGCGAGGCCGCCCCCGCGGGCGGAGGGCGGCGGAAGGCTGGCGGCATGCGGCAGGAGCAGAGAGGCGACCTCTCGAGAGATTGAAGGCGTTTTGGGGCTCAGGGTTTCCGAGATCGGCTGCGTGCACTGTTCTCCCCTGGGCCGTTCGGCCCTATCGTCGCCCCGGGAAAGAGGGGCATGCGTGCTCTGGGTTTCTGAATAAGCGTGGGGGTCCCCCCCCCCCCGACGGGGGTCAACCTCGCCTCGTCGTCGCGCCGCGACGGGGGTCGTAGCGCCTTCGGCGCGTGGCGGCTGCCCGCGGCGGGGGTCGATGTGGGTCCGTCGGCGGGGTTGACGACCCCCCGACGCTTCTTAAGAAACTCGCTTTAAGCATGCCAGGAGGCTGGACACACACGGCACGGCCGGCCGGGGCGAGGGGGGAAGTGGGGGGGAGGGGGGGTCTGGCTCCGGACCTGCTTGGTGCGACCGTTCGTGGCAGTGGGTCCTATGAAGGGAGACTCCACCTGCTTGAAACAGGCGCCAAAAGCAGCCAAGATCTACTCCAGGAGGGGCGGGGAGGGGCGGGGAGGGGGAGGAGGAGGAGGAGGAGGAGGAGGAGGAGGAGGAGGAGGAGGAGGAGGAGGAGGAGGAGGAGGGCCCGCGCCGATCGGCAAAACAACGAATACGAAAGCGCCCGCCACGCGGCGCGGCCGGCTGGGGCGAGGGCCGGAAGCGCGCGTGGCCGCGGCGTGTTTTGTTTTTCTCCAGCGCTGGGCCCTCGCTTGGCCAGGCGCGCTGGCCCTCCACACTGTGCACGCAGGCTCGGCATCGTTGGGACGCGTGCATTTTTCCTTCGGCGAGGGCCATCGAGGAGCATCCTTGATCATTTGGCGAAAAGGCCACGCGCGAGATCGAAAAGAGCACAGGGAATGGACGTCCGAGCGATGGCGAGCAGGGCGCGTGGCCTACGGATGCTCCACAGGTTCAGGCAGTGGCGAAGCGTCCCAGCTCGCCCGTAGGCCTGCCAGAGGATGTTCTAGGAGCCTGTGGTGGTCTGCGCGAGATGCTCTTAGAACGTTTCTGGCTCGGACGGTCTTCTTGTTCTAACGCACCAGGTTCATGTTCTGAGAACCTTGTTTCGTTTCTAAGAACACTCTTGGGGTTCTGGGAACAGTTCGTGCGAGGCCTGCAGGACTGCCGGGACGGTCGGTCCCTGCTCAACATGTGAATCTGGCCATGCGTGCTTCCAGCTTCCCGGCAAGGGGCCGGAGGTCCGCGCGGAGCCCTTGGATCGGCACTGGGCCCCCCCCGGCGGCGCCTGCGGCGCCGCCGCTGGCGCGCTGCCGCGCGCCAGGGAAAGGGGCCTCCTCCTCCTCCTCCTCCTCCTCCTCCTCCTCCTCCTCCTCCTCCCCCTCCTCCTCCTCCTCCTCCTCCTCCTCCTCCTCCTCGCCGATCCCGGAAGTCCGCGCGGAGTTCCGAGAGCATATGCCTGTGCAACCGATGCTGCCCCTCCAGTCCCGCGGGTCCCCCCCGACGCGGCCGCGGACTTCAGGGGCGGCCCAAGCGGACCGTAGCAAACCATCTCCTTTCGTGACGTCCCCCTCGCCTGGCCCCAAGGCGTATGTATGCGGCCAGAGGGAAGCTTGAAAGGCGAGGGTGACGTCACGGAAGTGGATGGTTTGCTAGGGGTCGGTTAGGCCGCGCCCGAGGACTCTTACTCGTTCGGGCTGCTGACCTACTTCGTCGTGACGGGGCGCTTCCCCTTCGAGGGCAAGCGCGAAGAGCAGGTGCCCGTTATGAGGAGGGGAGAAGGAGGAAGAGGAGGAGGAGGAGGTGGAGGAGGTGGAGAAGCAAGGGAGGACGAGGAGGAGGGGGAGGAGGAGGAGGAGGAGGAGCAAACGCCTGCGGTACCCAGGGCCAGACCAAGTTCCTTTTGCCGTGGAAGCCCTTGGCCGACCAGGCGCCGACGCCATTGCCCTCCTCCGCGCGTGCGCGCCAGAGGACCCTCCTGAGCGGTCGCAGGTACAGGGTTCCGCTTGACGGTCGTTGTTCGCGCTGCTGCAGACCCAGAACGCGGAGTTTTTGATGGCCGCCGAATCGGCTTGATGCGTCGCCGTTTGTTGCTCAACTGCCCTCCC